AAGATAGGAAGGATGGTGCCTACAGAGGCAACAGGATTAAGAAGTCAATTTCTATTTGCCTGCCACTTCTCTATTATTATCTTCTGATCATCTTTTTCCTGAGAATAGGTCCCATATCCTGCTATGCAACCATGTTCAGATGACCTCAAGCAGAAAGATATGAGACTTGGTTTCCTTTGTCTATTTATTCCATCAACTTTACAATGGGTTCTAAAAATTATCATTATTTTTTATCATAACATCCTCCTATTCATATGGAGGATACTCAGCAAACTCAAAATCGAGCTCCCATATGACCCAGCAATTCCAATTCTGGGTATCTATCCACAGGACAGAAAAGTATTCATTCCAATGAATGTATGCAAACCATTATTCATTGCAGCACTCAGTGCATTCGCTAAGATTTGGACCCAATCTAGGTGGCCAATAACAGATAATTGGCTCAAGAAATGTGGAATATATACACAATAGAATAGTACACAGTTGTAAGGAATGAGAAGATCATGCAAATCGCTGCAACGTGGATGGAATGGAAGCCATCATGTTGAATGAAGTAATACAAAAACAGAAGAATAAAGACAGGATGATATCGCTTACATATGGTATTTAGAATAACTGAAACAGGGAATGCAATGTTTTAATGGGGGTTTTCCAGATCAACCTCTGCCCCACAGTATAAAGCAGAAGAAAGAGAGAGTGGAGGGGAAGTAGAAAAGAATGAGATGAAAAGCAATGGGAGCTGGGTCAGGGGATTAGAGTACAAAGGTGGTGTGAAGGAATGGTAGAGCCAAAGATCCAAACCAGAATCAACAACACTTAAGTCAAGATACACAAACATTAACAACTGAACTTAGAAAGGTGCCTGTCAACAGGGCAGGCGGGAGTGAGGGGGATATGGGAGGGAACCTGGAAATGCTGGTGGAGGAAATTTGACACAGTTTGTGGGATTGGTGATGAGAAATTGTATGTGTAAAATTCAACTATGAAGAACTTTGGAAGTCATGGTGCTTCAATAAAAATTATTTTAAAATAAATTTAAAAGGTGTTTAATCAATCTTATGTCTTATAGGTTAGCAAAGATTATAAGCTTTCTCACATAAGATGGATACACTAATTCATCTAAATGGAATGGGAATATATAGCATTTTATATTAAAGATCTTATTTGGAAGCAAAACTTCCTTAGCACATTAAGTAGCAGTGGGGATAGAACTTGCAAAGTAATAGAATCTCTCTCTCGCCCTATCCAATTCAAGACAGGTCAGAAAATCAGCTGTTATTCCCTTATTTTTTACTTCTGAGTTTATTAAAACCTAAAGGTTCAAAAATTCTCCATTCTGCCAAAATAACTAACAAAAATGGTCATCAATTTGAACAATTTGCTTTCTCATTTATTTGTAGAGTTTTAAATGTATGTTCTTACACTTATTAGGTCATCTGAATCTCACTGCATCTTCAGATTGAAATAACACAGGCATCATACTTGTTTTTCTACATGGAAATAAGGCTTTGAATGGTCATTTGCAAGTTCATGTGGAAAGTAAATTTTGTAGTGTTGAGTTTAAAACTTTTTCCACTCACACCAATCATCACTGGTAGTTAAAATTATGACCATGGGCTGCTGGGCATTAATAATTACATTGTCAGACCACCTCAAAGATCCTCATATCTTACTGCTTTCTGGACTTTTGGATTTCTTTCCATAAATAGTCTTTGCAGTAGGCACAGAAATACCCAACTTTTCTTTCTTTACCAAATAGCAGTGAACCCATGCACTGTATCTATGGCACTGCAGAGATGATATCCTGACATTTTTCAGGACCAAGTTCTGATCTACTTAACTGAGTTATCTAAATAATCTTTCAAAGAATATTCTGTAAGAATCTCTTATGTGGGTAGAAAGGTCACAATCCCAACCCAGATTATTATAGATGAGTCCTATCTATGCACTCTACTATAGGGAGATAATATTCCTATCCAGTCTTGCCCTGAATCAAACCTACTACAGTCGAAACTTGACTTGGAGATAATAGGCTGCCTCTGAGGATTCAGTGTGCCCTAAGTACCTCTACTCCATAAGTGAACATATACATACATCATTAAGTAAATCTTTTTAATCCCCCATTGCATCAATAAAACATCACTAGAAGTGACAAATTTTATATTATCAGGGTCTAAATATAGCTAACTGCCACCATTCTAAGTAAAATATTTTACATGTTCTATGAATGTCACTAACCTTTCCTGAAATCTCCAATAGGAGAGGTGGAAGAGCGGCCATCTCCCCATTTAGTAAACCTATCATTATATGTTGTATACACTGTTCAAAATAATAGCATTGCTTGGATAGCTAGTTTCACATTAAATCTCCATCAGGTAGGGTCAGTGAGATGGCTCAACAAGGTGGAGCATATGCTTTGCAAGCAGGTCTAGGCTAGATCTCTAACACCACATGGTCCCCTGAGCACCTCTAGGAGTATCACTGTATCACTGTCATCCCATTGTTCATCGATTTACTCAGGCGGGTGCCAGTAATGTCTCTATTCGTCCCAGCCCTGAGATTTTAGCAGCCTCTCCTTCATATTGGAGGCTCTTTCATGGTCAGGGGAATAAGACCTGTTATTGTTACTGTTTTTGGCATATCAGATAACGCATGGGTAGCTGGCCAGTTACCCCCCTGGGAGTAACTCTAAAAACGTAAGCTGAGAGTAACTCCTGAGCACTACTGATGTGGCTCCAAAACAGTAATGACAATAATCATAATCACAATCATAACTAATCGAGTTCAGCCTCTGATGCTACAAACTAATGAAATGGGATGTCAGGGAAATCATCTGCTCTAATGCTAGGGTCATCTATGTCTGCTGTTCTTCCTGTTATACTATCTGATTGATAGGACATCTTCATTAAATGAGCATCTCAATGGGTGCATACTAGTGTAAAGCATATTAGATCTTTGAAAAAAAGTGTTCATGTTTGTCTTCGGAGACTACTATTTCCGAAGTAATTATCTTTGATATCTTTCTAAAGTTCCACACCCCTTAGCACAATGGAAATTTGATACCAGGAGTGGGCACAATGAATAAACAAAATGTCAAATAAGCTTTTCTTTGCATCTTTTTACATGCACTATGGTTGCTGACAGGCAGAATTATCTTTTCAAAGTCCCAAATGGGGTCTCGATTGCATCCAGTAACCTTTATCATCTTGAAAAGTAAAATGTGACAGGCCTGTCAATTATTATATGTATTTCAAAGTACTGTTTAAAAATAGCATGTGCTTTCTTTAATAAGCAAAATAAAAGAATGGCATCAGGTGCCACACATAATGTATGATAACTTGAAATGAGAATTCACAAATGTCTTTTCCTATGGTGCAGAATAAATTCTACAATTTTTCACTATCTTAAGTCACAACCTTGTGACATAATTTATCTTAACACATTGTTGAAAGATTAACACCAGAATTTTTCTAAATATTCTGTGACATAGGTTATATTTGAAGACAATTAAAAATGTAGGAAGGATTTGAATTCACCTCTTAGGTGCTCAAAATAAATACCACTAGGACATCTTTAATATCTGAGAGACCAATTTAAAATAATTCTCTTTTTAAGCAGCAGAGTAACTTTTTCTCAAAAAAATATGTTCTAACATTGAATTGTCTGTCAGATATTTTTTCAGGTGGCAATGGCTTGCTTAGAGTTACATACTGGTAAAACTAGCTAAATTAAATATTATAAAGAAGCAATAGTTTAAAGTGACCTTTTTTATCCAGAGACATTTAGAAGAGTAACCAAACTTCAGGTTTAAAATATTTAAATTTAAATCACATTTTCATATTTTAGAAGTGCCTCCAAATATGTACAACTATATATGACAGTGGCACAGTGTAAAGCTTTAGAAAATTCAGAACTGCAAATCATGCTATTATTTAGTGTTCATACTTTTCAAAATAATTTTTCAAATGTGTTCTCTTATCTTTATGGCAAGCAATACTTACCTGACATTTTAAAACATATTTTCTCACAAATATTTCACTAACCTTCTTCTTGTTTAAGAGTATTTCTAGCACTTTAGCAATTGCCATCATATGTAAACACAGATATTTATTTTACAACATTTTATTTTAAAACATCTCATATATGCTGAAAATTATGGCAAACTACATCGTATCTATTTGGGGATAATTTCTTGCATTTGACATGCCCCCAAAGAGTTAGAATTCAATAATACCATATTTATATACTTTTGCAAGCTTTCTCATAGACAGATTTACTCTTCATTGAATGTTACACAAATATAAGTATCATGCAAAAGAACTATATTCCTTTGTTCTTCATGAATTAGAAAATAAATAGACATAAAATTACAAAAATTCAGATATGCAGGCTTGCAAGAATTTGTTGGGATGGCTTGAGCATTTCATTAGAGTCAAATGGATTTTGTCACAGTAAGTATCGGCAACTAGCAAGAGCAAGTTAAATGCACACATACACACACACAAGTGCCAAACCAATAAAGAGGTACAGACACACTAGATCATGCAGAAGTACAAGGCCTCATTTGGGGTACTGGATCCATGTTACAATACGCAATATTATATTTGGCAAAATAGGTCAGAGAGCTTTCTTTAGATGGATGTCTTTTGTGCTTTTGTTGGGGTGGTTGCTGTAGGCCTGCAGCATGCATTTGGTTACTTTGCTGTAGGTGAAACCTGAAAGGACATATGTAAACCAGTGCAGAGTGCAGTTCTAAAATAGCTGTGCATGGGGTAGGGCAGAAACAGTGAGGGAGGAGGGAAGGGAGGGGAGAGACGGGGAGAGAGCAAGAGGGTACTCTTTCGTGAGATTCAAGGGTGAAATTTCCTTAAAAACATTTTGGCCTTCATTTTCCTTTTGAACACCTTGCTGTGGGGGATGCGTGCCCCCTTCAGAGTAGAGCGCAACCTGCGCAAGAGATCACTTAGCACTAGTTTCCACCTTGGAGCAGATCTTCCTACCTTTCCAGTCTTAATTCTTTGACAAATGGCTGCAAATCGATGGTTGAGCTCTGAGATTTTGGGCTCTACTACTTTCCTGCAGTGGTCGCCGCGGTTGGCCATCAGGGTGGTTGCTTGGTCACGCGTGGAGTCCACTACTGGGCGAACGTCATTCATTTCAGCCTTTAAACGCTATATTCCGTGAGCAAGAAACAGGGCTTGATGTTAGTGACCAATGGAAGTTCAGAGCTAGAGACAACACAAGAGCAAAGACGGGAACAAGAAGACAGGAGGGGAGAAAGTGGGGACAGGAGGGGTACTAACAAATGCATGCAGAAAACTGCAGAAGCCAAAAGTCACTTTTCATCAGTCAACTGCCATTGCTTATGACTGACCAATATTTATTTGTATGTCACTGTCCCCCCATTGTTCATCGATTTGCTCGAGCGGGCCAAGTAACGTCTCCATTGGAGACTTTTGTTGTTACTGTGTTTGGCATATTGAATACATCACGGGTAGCTTGCCAGGCTCTGCCGTGTGGGCGAGATACTCTTGGTAGCTTGCCGGGCTCTCTGAGAGGGGCGGAGGAATTGAACTTGGGTCGACCATGTTGGCTGCTTGCAAGGCAAACGCCTTACCACTGTGCTATTGCTCCAATGGATTTTATTAATCTGAGAGAGGGCTAACAGGGTGAGTTCTTGCCATCCTCTCTTGCCTGCAATCATCATCAACAATATGTTTATATTTTGTCTTATTTTACTTTCACTTGGTTTCCAAAGGATGCAACCACCTTTCACTACTTGGGAGGGGAAGCAGCTAAAGGACAATCATCCATTTCATTGCAGTTCTCCTGAGTTCTTTCTTGCTCCTCATATTGAGGCCACAACAAGAATTGATTTTCTAACAGAAATGAATTCTGTGTCAGATAATGAGGGACTGAAGAAGGTTCTGCCTGTGTCACGAGGTTAAAAAATGCTAGACGAGCAATAACTCATTTCCTATAACTCCCCATACTTCATCAGAAGATGCCAATCGCAGTTCAGAGAAGTAGTACAGCAGGTGGGCACAGGCATTGCACTCAGCCAGCCTGGGTTCATTCCCAGCACAGCGTGTCTTCCCCTCAGCATCTTTGGGAGTGATCACTGAGAGCACCCAGATGGGTGTGAATCAGGAAAAAAAGTGCCATTCCCTGACTTCATGTCAAAATTGAACTAAAGGCAAAAATGAAGTATAAACATTTGTGTAAATAAATTTGGCTATAGTGAAAATAATTTTCTAGGCTTTCAGTATAAAGGAATTGTGATCCTTAGGAAAAAAAGAGAAAAATAATATTTTATAAGCAGAAACTATTTCTGATGTCCATTACATACCAAATAAAATTAGCAAAGATGGTAGAAAATTTTTTAAAAATGAAATTATTTATTTAAATGGTATTTTAAAACTTCCTATTTTCCTATTGAATTGAGAGGGTTGTGATAAAAAAGAGACAATAAGGCATCAGTACAATACATTTTCATATAACACCTTTCATACTATTTTCAAAGAACCATTTATTTTGAAGTGAAAAGTAAACTGCCTTTGGGAACAAAGGGTTATGATGTCATAACACTCAATCTCTATTAAAAGATGACACGATGCCATTTTATATACATTTCAAAGTTCAAACTTCAATTTTCTGTAAGCTAAATATTGTTACTAATTTCTAAGACTTGGAAAGAGCAGAGGAAAAATGTTAAAATCATTGGATTACAGAAGTTTACACAAATGTTTTTGAATGGTGTTGGGAAACTAATCTTTGATTGTACTACTATTAATAGGAAGGTATTTATAGTATAATGTCCCATATACACTGAATTCCATTCTCCTAATAGGCTAAGTTTCAAATCTATAATTGACTATGGAAAAATATCCAGATTCCATAAATGAAAATTATTAACTCTCATCTCAATTAAGGAATGAGGTGGAAGGAAACAATAGTGGAGGAAGGGGAAGGAAAAGGAAAGGAAGGAAGAAGGGGAGGGAGTTAGGGAGACAAGACAGGAAGTACATTTCACTTTTATTAGGAAGCCCTTGCAATGTCTTAGGACCAAGGAGATTGACTTAACTCTTATTTGAAAATTACTTTCCATAGCTTTAAATTTTCTACCTTAAGTATGTCTTCTTTCTGCTGAGGTTTCTTTTTCTCAGACTCATCCAAAAGTTTCTCAGCCCGAATGATCCAGTTTGAGATGTGATCCACATTCTGGTCAAAGTTTTCCATGTGTTTCTTGTATTCCTTAATTTTACATAGATACATCACGACATATTATTGTTAAACAGTATTATTTTCATAAAGAGTTGCATTCCTAATAAGTCTATAAATCTACAGCTTTTATATATATAAATTGTAGTACAAAACATATTAAAATTAACAGTTATATTGCTATGGGAATTCAAGAGACTGAATACGCATAAAAAAGAATCTGCAATTCCTATAATTTGTCAAAATCATATGAGATACTTACATAATACAGGAATGTAGGACATATATCAGGACCAATAAAAAACGGAAACAAATAGTAAAAAAACCTTAAATTTAATTCCCAAACTTAGGTATCTTCAAAGTTTTTCTGTGAGGGATAAATTTTGATAATCCTCTTAATAGCTGCATCCTAGTTTCCACAAACTTAAAGAGAAAAATTCATTCAAATGACTTGCTGGTGCAGATGCCATAAGGAATTAGCACCAACATGGAAAAATAAATATAAAATAAATACAGTTTTACATAGCATTGTGAATCAGCACCCATGTGGAGGTGAGGAATGTGCAACACGAACATATTCATTTAACACATAGGAAATTTGTGTCTCATGAAGTAGAGGAGTTGAAAATCTTTCAGCCACTTCTCTTACCAACAAAAGGTTTAACCACTCTTCTGCTCTGGAAGTAACAGCTATCCAGTTACTATTCAGAAGACTCAGTTTATCCTCCACCAAGGTCTCCTTCTTGTCCAAAAGTGTCTTCAATGACTCTCCCACTTCTGTCACACTCTTTAGGTGAACTTTCTGTTTCTCAATTTCTTTCTGAGTAGCCTGTGAAAAGGAAAGCGTTGCCTCTTCTTAAGATCCATTGCTTTCAAAGTGGTCTCGTGTTATATTATGATGGTAGGATTTTTTAAGAGCTACACTTACATAAAGTTATAGCTTTGTGAGGTACTAGGGGATCAAAGCCAGGTTTTCAAATGCAAATTACTTCCTCTACCTGCAACTTGGGCTAGAGCAATAGCACAAACAATAGGGTGGTAGGGATTTTGCCTTGCATGTGGACAACCTCCACTGACTCCCCTGGTTCAATTCCTCTGCCCCTTTTGGAGAGCCCAGCAAGCTAGGGAGAGTATCGCGCCTGAACCGCAAGGCCTGGCAAGCTACCTGTGATGTATTTAATATGCCAAAAATAGTAACAAGAAGTCTCACAATAGAGAAGTTGTTGGTGCCCACTTGAGCAAATCGATGAACAATGGGAGGAAACTGCTACAGTGCTACCTGCAACTAAGTTACATTCACAGCCCAAATGTACCCCCAGTGAGTTATTAAAATCATACTGAATGTACTAGGGTTTCCTTATTGAGTATTCAGGAAAAAAATCTGAAGATTACCATAACGAGTCTAATATATCTTTAAAATTGTATGCATTTAACGGATAGATATATGACAGTCACAGTCACAGTCCTCCCGTTGTTCATGGATTTGCTCGAGCAGGCCCAGTAACGTCTCCATCATGAGACCTGTTGTTACTGTGTTTGGCATATCGAATACATCACAGGTAGCTTGCCAGGCTCTGCCGTGCGGGCGAGATACTCTCGGTAACTTGCTGGGCTCTCCAAGCGGGGCAGAGGAATCAAACTCGGGTCGGCCATGTTGAACGCTTGTAAGGCAAACGTTTTACCCGCTGTGCTACCGCTCCAGTCCAGATATATGACATCTTTTATAATATAAGTATATTCCTTAATTTATAAATGACCAGCAAAAGGCAGTCTTAGAAAACTGAAGGCCAATAAGGAACCAGTTTTAGATCATTGAGCATGTGTTCTGCTCCTGTTTTTCTACAGAAGAAGACTGTAGCTCTTTGGTATCATTTGATAGCTAGTTAAAAATCAAGACCCCTTTATCATAATGTTATTTGAAGTAAATGATGGAATCCATTGGATTTTAAGTGTAAGGCAAAACTGGCATTACTGGAGCTTTCAGCTTACAGTGAGATTTTTAAAAAATGGCTTACTTCAATGAGGAGTGGGAAGATCTAATATCAGTATAAATGTTTACTGTCACTTCATGCCATCACTGACTACATGACCCTTCTCCACCCTATATCTGCCCGTAACATCTTTATCTAGGGTAAGCTGTTGGACATTCACTGGGAGGTCAACCTCCCAAACGCTCACTTCAATCCATGTTCACTCAACAGTTTAACTGAGGGGCCCCTGGTTTGTACAAAGCTGACCACAGTTCTATCTCGAGCATCCCATATGCCACTAGAGCACCAAGAGTGATCCCTGAAGAAAGCTACAGGAACAATCCAGAAGCTCCTCTGGGTGTAACCCAACCCCAACAAAAGAAGTTTAAATGAGACATACAGGAGACTATAATGACTGACAAGCTAATGTCACTTTGAAACAAACCTGCCTCTTTTCTCTCCGTCAACCTTAACCTTGGTAAGACAAAAATCAGTGGGGAACAGAACTTTTAGGACAAAGAGGCAGACCAGGTACAAAGAGGCAAAGGAGGCAGCTCCAGAGCTTAAGATAGGGAGATTGGGAGGGAGGAGGAGAAAGGAGGAGTGTGGAAAGTGGGTGCACGGGGAGCAAATCTCTTAGATGACAACAGAGTTCTCATCCCTTACTCCTAAATACTCTCAAGGTGTTTTTCAATCTTTATGATATCCCTACTTAGTACTTCTAGTGATCTTACCTCCATATGATCTAAGGCTGGTCCAATTCAAAATTACTACACACGAATGGGTTTGGTCTTGTTTTTGACAACACAAGAAAGGAACCAAAAAAGAGGCAAAATAGTGTATAACATAGTTTATATAGGAGAGACACTGTTGCTTCAATTCCAAGAGTCTGCTCAATTCCTCTTTTCCCAATGAAATACAATTTGAAATCAACATACTTGATGTCAAATGACCAAACTAGCCAGTACACAGAGGATTGTGTGTCATGTATTACATGGTGGTAAGTTTGGCAGCTCATGGAGAGAAGTACTTTTATGTATATTGAGAAATATTATCGTGTCTGGTAAAGGAAGAACATACAAGCCAGTGAGACAGGTTGGTTTTACATAACAATGAGCCTACGTAATAGATTCTAGGAAATTATGAAAAGTGTCTTCTTTATGTGAAAAGAGCTCTTCGTTAGTTTCACTGGTGAGTCATTATGAGCCAGACTAGATCTTTCTCTCCCTTGTATAATATAGAATGTTTATAACTGTATATGGTAAACGTTTCTCTATAGAGGCTATGGATATAAAGGTCGAAAAATAGACAAGTGTGTTTCCTAATTAAACTAATATTGAATATACTTAAAATATATGCAAATGAACATTCCCTACATCTTATATTCCAGATTAGTCTTTTGTCATTAAAGTTTGTTCACTGTTCATGTATTCACTCACAAAGCTGAACCCAAGTGATGCTTGGATCATTATTATTCTCTTTAAAGATGTCAAAAGTTGATACTTTGTTTGGCTTTGCTGAAGTAAGATATTTACAAGGAATTTGTCTCCACTATGGCAGGCAATGCAAATGACAGTAACATAAGTTTTCAGATCTCAAAAGAGATCTTGAACTTAAAAATTAGTTCACGGATCACAAACAACTATTATGTATTAAGCATCTGCCCAAAGTCTCCAGCTAATTTCATTAAAGTTTGTGTAATGTCCAATGGTTTTTCTTTCAGTTAATGAGAGCAATAAAATAGGAAATGTGGGCAAATGCAAAATGTCATTTTAGGTTCCTTGATATAAAACTATAAAACTCAAAGATGTAAATGTTATCATCATTATGAATGAGGGAAATAGGCAGGGAATATGACAGCAGTTCATGACTACTTATGGTCAAAATTATAACCAAAAAAAGTAAACTCAACAGTAGAAGACCTAGAGTTCAATCTTTATATATAGTATTCAAGAATATACTGCCATTTACTACTTTGTATCTTATGTTAGGGAATCCGTAAGCATATTTAACGGATTTTCTATTATTCCCCGAAAAACAATTTTGAAGGATACTATTTACCAATCAAACAACAAGCTGATTCTGTTTACTGAAAACTTTACCAATACCTCAATCAGCATTGAATATATTCAATCAGTATCCAATCAATATCCGATCAATAATTCATCAAGATGGTTAATATCTCCTATTTATAATGCCACTCATTGGCAGAGAGAATGAAGGAAGCTCTCTTTGTTCTAATTTTACCTACAGTGTAGCTCTGGAGGAAAGCTGAGACATGGTGAAATGTTTGAGAGAAGAAAAAAAAAAGATTAGAAAAAATGTAATTTGGGGCAGAAAAATGAGTCAAACCTGAGATAAACATAAGTGGTTTCAAGGGAGAAGTGACAATTGAAACTAAAATTTACCATTAAGGATTTTGTAGTTTGCATTAACTAAAGACAAAATACAAAAATGATTAAAAGGTATAGTTAGGTGTCTAATGCTAATGAAATTGGAATACTATGTATTTAAAACTAAAATCCTATATTTTATGATTTTAATAAATTAATACTTCATTAGAACATAGATGTTTGTTGATGTCCTGGGAACTAAATGACAGCTATTCCTTGGGCCTTTCTCTATATCCTTACTCATCCTCTTCAAGGAAATTAAAATTATTTACAGTGTGAGGGAGGGAAAGAACTGAACACAATGGCACTCCCCCCACTTCAAGAGCATTCATTCAGGACCTGGACAGATATTAGAGCAGGCGGGGAATTTCCTAAAGCTAACCAGAGTTTGATCCCCAGCACACACATGGTCCTCTGAGCCCTGCCAAGAGTGATTCCTGAGCACTTGTGGCCCCCAAACCAAAGCAAAAAATATATATAAAAGCATGTATTCATTTCCCCCTGAACATAGACTACCTTCTGCTACTGAGTATTAGAGAGGATTCTGGAAACTCTAAACTGTGAGATTAAAAAGGACAAGTTCAATATCACTGAACAAGTGAACTTAACTATATCTTTTAAAACTTTAAATTAGATAGCATGGTTCCTATAGTCTTTACTTGAAGTGGGTCTCCCAATCTGTATTCAGAAGGTTATAGGGCCACACTGCTAAATCTCAGCCTGTGAGTGTATGAATGCCAACTCATCAGTCCCACAGAGCTAGGATTTCCAAACCTCTGTCAACTTCCTGCAAGGGAAGTAAGAGCCTCTCTCTATCTGATCCCAAGATTGTTAACTTTCACGCTTTTGATGTGCAGTTACCACACTGGCACCACCACCAAATCGGCCCACACTTCACCAAGAGAGATGTTTTTAAAATGGCACAATTATGCATACTCCAGTTTATTTTCACCTACGACAAGCTTCTAAGTCCAACTTTAGGAGTTTTGACAGCAGCTTAATGCAAACTCTACATTTGATGGTTGCTGTTTGTAGAATACAGGGAAATGGTAGGTAGAGTATGAATCAATTTACAAATATATCATAAATCATGACTTCTGTTATTTTCTACAACTTTAATTTACAAACCTGGTGACTACCCAAAAGTCAAAATATCATACACTAATATCCATGATTTTAAACAAACAAACGTGCTGTGTACTTTCTTCTAGCCTAGCAATTTGTAATTACACACAGCCCTAAAAGTAAAATGGATAGCACTGTAGCACTGTCCTCCCATTGTTCATAGATTTGCTCGAGTGGGCCCAGTAATGTCTCTACTGTGAGACTTGTAGTTACTGTGTTTAGCATATCGAATATGTCACGGGTAGTTTACCAGGTTTTGCCGTGTGGGTGAGATACTCTTGGTAGCTTTCCGGGATCTCTGAGAGGGGCAGAGGAATTGAACCTGGGTAGGCCACGTGCAA